GGCAAAATAATTTTCTAAAGTTAAAAGGGTGGACAGAAGATGTCCAATTTGTTATTATACTAAGTGACATATAAATCCGAACACCCAGTTTAAATGGTTTTATTTTAATAAAATTTTGTATAAGTACTCAATGAAGCATAATAAGTAAATGATAAAAATTTCGAAATGATTGCACTGCTTTAAAGCCCTTTGACCTTTAATAATGTGTGGATGCACCCTGATGTGCTACGCATTCTCCAACGCGCCTAGGCATGCTTCTGATCAGGTGGTCAATGTCCTCCTGTGGTATCTCATTCCAGGCAACCACCAACTCCTCTAGAAGTACTTCTAGAGTCTGAGGAGGACGTTGCAAATTGAGCAATCTCCTACCCATCATATCCCACACGTGCTCAATTGGGGATAAGTCGGGAGATCTTGGTGGCCATGGTAACAATGTGACATCATTATGTTGAAAGAAGTCTATTGTGACTCTTGCAACATGTGGTCGGGCATTATCTTGTTGGAAAGTTGGATCTGCCAGGGTGTCAAGATAGGGTAAAAGATGGGGTTCTAGAACTTCGTGGATATAACGCTGCGCGTTCATGTTACCTCTCATGAAGATTAAAGGTGACCTGAAACCATAAGCTATAGCACCCCAAACCATAACTCCAACAGTGTGATGAACATGTCTTTCAACAAAAAACTGTGGATTCCTCCTTTCACCACGTCGTCTTCTAACCCTGGCACGACCATCGTGCATGCCTAAACAAAATCGAGACTCGTCACTAAAGACAATACTGTTCCATTCCTGATCCACCAGAGTGACCGTTGTCTGCACCACTCAAGGCGATTACGTCGGTGTTCTCGAGTTAAAGGGAGGACCCAGTGTGGCCGGTATGAAAACAAGCCAAAACTTCTCATTCGTCGGTAAACACTTCGCATGCCAATAGGTCTTCCGTGTTCTGCAAACCATTCATTTGCAATGGACCTGGTAGTGGAGAAACGGTCCCTTAAGGCCAACAATCTTAGGCGGCAATCTTCACGGCCTGTTGTTCTACGGCGGCGTCCAGTGCCCCTTGCTCTTTGCGTACGGCCTTCTCGAAGCCATGCCTGACAACACCTAACCACAGTGTCTACACTTCTTTGCACTCTAACTGCAATTGCCCGAAAAGAAAGTCCAGCTTCCCGTACAGGTCTCCGTACTTTAGGCATCGTAACCGATCGTAAAGGATGTCAAGAACCAAAATCCGCCAACGTTGATTCTTTACTGCGGCTGAAATATTCATTTTTAGAGCGTTAGTGAATTAAAAAAAAGCAGTACAAAAACCGGAATGTCCAACTGATAAGGCTGAAATTTTGTTCACTTGTTATTTACAGTAAGATAAATACATTCACCAACTTTTATTAAAATAAAACCATTTAAACTGGGTGTTCGGATTTATATGTCACTTAGTATATGTTTTATCGCCTTATTATCGCAAACTAAAAATGATGACGTTTTGCCTAATTCTATCCTAGCCTGTAGTAAGATATCAAAATACATTTTTTAACATAAAAGTTGCCAAAACCATTTACATTTACATTTTTATGTATAATCAAATCCAAGCGAATAACCAAAATTTCTGTATTATGTACCGCGGTTATAATATGGTTTAAGATGACACACGGGTTGATGACGTCAGTTACTCCAATCGCTTGAACGTGTTAGTTTTAACCGCGGTTATGTTGCATGTTTATTTTAGAAAGGCGCGTATATAATTTCTGATTATTTTTATTATCACTTAGTAATCGGTGCTTTTTCGTCTAGAACAGTGTATGGAAAGTTAAAAAAGGAAAACTTTCATAATATTAATGGGAGAGTTTTTTTTTCAGAAAAATTTATTCAATGATGGAACCATGGCTTTGTAGCTATGATAACCTCCAATCCTCTAAACTTTTCCGCATGTTAAAGAAAACCTTTTATTGATTTAGCAGAAATGATAGGAAAAAGAGATGAAAAAAGATATTAGCAAAACCGTACACAGGTGGACATTATCCAGTGAGTTTATATGGCCATATTTTAATACTCTTGTGGTATATGGCTACGCATGATATTTTGTTAAGCATGGGAACTAGATTTAAAGTGTCCACAACAACAGTAATGAGTATACCTAATAAGGCACTATACTTCATGCTACAACTGAAGTCAGCCTGTATCAAGTTTCTCAAAAATGAAGCTGCAGTACAACAAAAATATCAAACACCCGCCAAAATTCTAACTTGTCACCTTTCAAAATAATAACCAGAAATATAAAACTACTCTGGAGTTGGGTAAATACCACAATTTTAAGGTGATATCTATGACATATAACAGCTGATTCATGACGTCACGGATCTTATAACCAAATTGATAACCACACTCGTTTAAGCGGATAGGTAAATACCAATCCAAAATGGTAAATACCATTTTCATTTGGTTATTCGCTTGAATTTGATTATATAAATCCAAGCAAATAACCAACATTTCTGTGTTATGTGCCGCGGTTATAAAATGGTTGAAGATCACATACGGGTTGATGACGTCAGTTACACGAAACGCTTGAACGCGTTGGTTTTAACCGCGGTATTTGTTGCAAATTGTTTATTTTATAAAAGCGCGTATATAATCTCTGATTATTTTTATTATCACTTAATGATCGGTGCTTTTTCGTCTACAACGGTGTATGGAAATTTTAAATAAGAAATCTTTCGTAATATTCATGGGAGAAATGTTTTTTTTTCAGAAAAAAATTGTAATGATGGAACCATGGTTTTGTAGCTATGATAAATTTCAATTCTCTAAAGTTTTCCGCATGTCAAAGAAAACATTTATTGATTTAGCAGAAATGATGAAAAAGCGATGAAAAAAGATATTAGCAAAACCGTATACAGGTGGACATCATCCAGTGAGTTTATATGACCATATTTTAATATTCTTGTGGTATATGGCTACACAGGATACTTTGTTAAGCATAGGAACTAGATTTAAAGTGTTCCCAACAACAGTAATGAGTATAACTAATAAGGTGCTCCATTTCATGCTAACACTGAAGTCAGCCTGTATCAAGTTTCCCAAAAATGAAGCTGAAGTACAATAACTATAATCAAATTCAAGCGGATAACCAAATGGAAATGGTATTTACCATTTTGGGTTGGTATTTACCAATCCGTTCAAGCGAGTGTAGTTATCAGTTTGGTTATAAGATCCGTGACGTCACAAATCAGCTGTTATATGTCATAGTTATCACCGCAAAATTGAGGTATTTACCCAACTCAAGAGTAGTTTTATATTTCTAGTTATTATTTGAAATGTGACAAGTTAGAATTTTGCCGGGTATTGGATATTGTTATTGTACTTCAGCTTCATTTTTGAGAAAAATGATACAGCCTGACTTCAGTTTTACCATAAATTGGAGCACCTTATTAGTTATACTCATTACGGTTGTTGGGGACACTTTAAGTAGTTCCTATGCTTAACAAAGTATCCTGTGTAGCCATATACCACAAGAATATTAAAATATAGCCATATAAACTCAGTAGATGATATCCACCTGTATACGGTTTTGCTAATTTCTTTTTTCATCATTTCTGCTGAATCAATAAATGTTTTCTTTGACATGCGGAAAAATTTAGAGAATTGAAAGTTATCATAGCTACAAAGCCATGGTTCCATCATTAAAAAAAATCTGAAAAAAACATTTCTCAAATGAATATTATGACAGGTTTCTCATTTAAACTTTCCATATTCAGTTGTAGACGAAAAAGCACCGATTATTAAGTGATAATAAAAATAATCAGAGATTATATACGCGCTTTTCTAAAATAAACAACTTGCAACAAAACCGTGGTTAAAACCAACGCGTTCAAGCGATTCGTGTAACTGACGTCATCAACCCGTGTGTCATCTTGAACCATATTATAACCGCGGCACATAACACAGAAATTTTGGTTATTCGCTTGGATTTGATTAATATCCAATACCCGGCAAAATTCTAACTTGTCACATTTCAAATAATAACCAGAAATATAAAACTACTCCTGAGTTGGGTAAATACCACAATTTTGCAGTGATAATTATGACTTATAACAGCTGATTCATGAGGTCACTGATCTTATAACCAACTAACCACACTCGCTTGAACGGATTGGTAAATACCAACCCAAAATGGTAAATACCATTTTCATTTGGTTATCCGCTTGAATTTGATTATACATGCTAACATGCTAACAGTAATTACACACAACGCGGGCGCAGTGGTGATTTCTCGTAATTCTCCTCAGTTTTTCGTGATTTATAACTTTGAACAAAACCTCTCTTCAGAAAGCACAACATATAAATAAACCGTCATATTCAGTAATGGTTTTCTCACACAGCAAATGTCACTGATTTTATACACATGCAGACCAATACACATAATCATCCAGATGCGATCTTGCTATTCAACCAACTTTCTTCTCAGAGATAAAAACTGCAGACAAGAACCACTCGGCCTAGCAAACATATGCAACCAATAATGCGTTTAGTTTAGATGAGTGATTCCTCCATAAGATGGACGTTCACAAAGATCCTAGTGAGCAAACGTGGAATGACTGTTTGCGCCCTAAAAACTACCTAGTCTGCAAGTTGACATCTTATAGGTTTTTTTGACGTTTTATAGGTTGTTTACATGATACCCGTGCCGTGCGGGTTACTGGCACATTCACCCTACACTTTACCACCCCATCATAGATGAAAGTCATAAAAAATAATACGTATACCAACATCTCAACGACAAATTCCACTACAGTTGTCTCTTGATAACCGACAGGTATGGGACCGGGTGGGTGTCGGATTAACGAAAATGTCGGATTATCAAGAATGGTTTTTCCTAATACTAATAATTTAATCAAGGAAAAATAGTATGTACTATGATTATTATTTTCGAATGCAGTAGTATTAATAACTATGTATATATTAAGTATTTAGGACAATATAAAAGCACGATGAAATTAAAAATATTAGATAGTGCATATATGTAATTTATTAAATATGTACAAAACTAGGTAATACATACAATGATCTAAAATATTTCAAACAAAATACGGCTTTCTACACTTGGAAAAAGTCTGTGATTGTCTTCTGCTTCTTCTTTCGCAGACAGTCCTTCATTGCTTGTTCTTGAATCCCTTTTAACATCAAAATGTTTGAAAAATTTAATTCTCTCTCCTCGCACCATCGAAGCAAAGTATTGGCTGCTGATACCGCTCCATCACAGCTGATAGTGAAGTTTTTCTCCGGCACTACCTCCTCGACCACGTCGTCATATACTGTCGTGACTTCCTGGATTATTTCTGCGTCTGTCACATCACCAGCAAGGTTGTCCTCAATAATCCATGTTCTGAATTCTTCGATTGATTCTGGCGCAAGTTTCACTTCGTTACAAATTTCAAGTGCAGCCTCTAAAATAGGTTCAGAATCGCTGTTGGATACGGTGTTCCATGTTGCAAGATGTGGGTTGTTGGGCCAAATATTCTTCCAAGATTTTATCAGGGCCATGCTTTTTACTTGCTGCTAAGCAAATGCGGCATTCAAAATAGCTACCTTAACATTGAAGGATTTCAACATTGCTTCAATATCAACATGAGGTTGACTGACTATAATCAAATTCAAGCGGATAACCAAATGGAAATGGTATTTACCATTTTGGGTTGGTATTTACCAATCCGTTCAAGCGAGTGTAGTTATGTTTGGTTATAAGATCCGTGACGTCACGAATCAGCTGCTATATGTCATAGTTATCACCGCAAAATTGTGGTATTTACCCAACTCAAGAGTAGTTTTATAGTTCTGGTTATTATTTGAAATGTGACAAGTTAGAATTTTGCCGGGTATTGGATATTAATCAAATCCAAGCGGATAACCAAAATTTCCGTATTATGTACCGCGGTTATAATATGGTTCAAGATGACACACGGGATGGTGACGTCAGTTACTCGAATCGCTTGAACGCGTTGGTTTTAACCGCGGTTTGTTGCAAGTTGTTTATTTTAGAAAAGCCCGTATATAATTTCTGATTATTTTTATTATCACTTAATAATCGGTGCTTTTTCGTCTACAACGGGGTATGGAAAGTTGAAAAAAAGAAAACTTTCATAATATTAATGGGAGGAATATTTTTTTTTCCGAAAAAAATTTTTACTGATGGAACCATGGCTTTGTAGCTATGATAACTTTCAATTCTCTAAGCTTTTCCGCATGTCAAAAAAAATATTTATTGATTTAGCAGAAATGATGAAAAAGCGATGAAAAAAGATATTAACAAAATTGTATACAGGTGGACATCATCCAGTGAGTTTATACGGCCATATTTTAATATTCTTGTGGTATATGGCTATACAGGATACTTTTTGTGGAGGAACTAGATTTAAAGTGTCCCCAACAACAGTGATGATTATAAATAATAAGGTGCTCTCTTATGCTAAAACTGAAGTCAGCCTGTATCAAGTTTCCCAAAAATGAAGCTGAAGTACAATAAATATATCCAATACCCGGCAAAATTTTAACTTGTCACATGTCAAATAATAACCAGAAATATAAAACTACTCCGGAGTTGGGTAAATACCACAATTTTGCGGTGATAACTATGACATATAACAGCTGATTCGTGACGTCACGGATCTTATAACCAAACTGATAACCACACTCGCTTGAACGGATCGGTAAATACCAATCCAAAATGGTAAATACCATTTCCATTTGGTTATCCGCTTGAATTTGATTATTGTTAGTGTACTTCAGCTTCATTTTTGAGAAAAATGATACAGGCTGACTTCAGTTTTACCATAAAGTGGAGCACCTTATTAGTTATACTCATTACGGTTGTTGGGGACACTTTAAATGTAGTTCCTATGCTTAACACAGTATCCTGTGTAGCCATATACCACAAGAATATTAAAATATAATCATATAAACTCACTAGATGATATCCACCTGTGTACGGTTTTGCTAATTTCTTTTTTCATCATTTCTGCTGAATCAATAAATGTTTTCTTTGACATGCGGAAAAATTTAGAGAATTGAAAGTTATCATAGCTACAAAGCCATGGTTCCATCATTTAAAAAAAAAAATCTGAAAAAACATTTCTCCTATGAATATTATGAAAGGTTTCTTATTTAAACTTTCCATATACAGTTGTAGACGAAAAAGCACCAATTATTAAGTGATAATAAAAATAAGAGATTATATACGCGCTTTTCTAAAATAAACAACTTGCAACAAAACCGCGGTTAAAACCAACGCGTTCAAGCGATTCGTGTAACTGACGTCATCAACCCGTGTGTCATCTTGAACCATATTATAACCGCGGCACATAACACAGAAATTTTGGTTATTCGCTTGGATTCGATTTATGACGTTTTGATATTTGATCCATTGGCTGGATCAAAGCCGTCGTGTTTTTTGGTAAGTACATAACCTCAATGAAACCGTCAGCAGTTTTAACTTTCAATTCATCTTTATCAGGGTGTCCTGGTGCGTTGTCGAGTTACAGAAGTGCTTGTACTGGTAACATCTTCTTCTCTAATTCTTGCTTAACTTCTGGGACAAAGCTGTTAATGTACCAATCACGAAAAACTTCTTTCGTGACCCATGCCCGGGTTTGAAACATGTAGGTTACTGGTAGAGATTCGACGTTTACATTTTTTAACGCACGTGGGTTTTTTGATTTACCAACAACGAGCAGTTTTAACATATGAGTTCCAGACGCATTCGCACATACCATCAGCGTGATTCGTTCTTTTCTTCCAGAAATTTATTTCCTCTTCAGTAACAAACGTCTTTGTTGGTAGCTGCCGGTTTCATCAGCGTTATAAACTTGCTCAGGAACTAGGCCAAGTTCATTAATTTTTGCGCCCAACTTTCCGATTAATCCCTGGATCTCGGACTCGTCAGCAGACACTTTTTCGCCACTCATCTGCATAGATCGTATCCCATGGCGTTTTTTGAAGTTTTCAAACCACCCATGACTAGCACGAAAGTCATTTTTCTTTGTTATTTCTTCGTAAAAAAACTGGGCTTTTTGTTTTAAAATGTCTCCTGAAATAGGTACATTCCGGTTTCGACCTCAGGGAACTCGCTAGTCTTTCTGTTTATAGGTAGGCCATTATCAACAGACTTTATGAATGTTTCGACTTTTTCCCTATTTTTCATGATATCGTAAACAGTAGGCCTTCCAATATCATATACTTTAGATATTGCAGTCGGAGTTTCACCACGGTTTATTCGTTTAATAATGTCCCATTTTTCAGTTAGATTTAATATTTTATGTTTACGTTTCACACTTTTTCTTGTCACTATAAAATACTGTCTCTACACAATCACACTATCAAAATACTATACCCCACGAAGCAACAGAATGTACATACTGAACGTCCACACCTCACGAAGCAACAGTATATACTGAACGTCAAAAACTAACATAAATGTGCATATATGTACATAGTGCGGCAGGGAAGTAGAGATGAGTCATCTCTGAGGGAAGGCGGATTCATGTCGCGGCGGCGCGTCGGATTATCGAGGGACAACTGTATTTGTATCTGCTTTGATGCAAATAAACTATAACATGTTTACCTCAAGTGTTATCTGATGAATCGTTCCATAACTTTATTTTACAAGGCAACGGATTCAAAATACCTCTTCTTAAAACAATTTATCAAGTTCCAACAAGTTTGGACTTGTAGAAACCTCTTATGGTTGTTATAAACCAGGCGCCTACTAATCTAATCCAGATCAGCGACTGTAAATATTCTGTTACATTTGTATCTGGTGTGAAATATGTATAAACTGATATTAATCAAGGGATTATACATTATCGGAGCCGTCAAAACACGGTATATTTATTGCATCTATCATCTAAAATAATAAAAGTGGATTATTGGAAATAATCTTTTCATAAACCTGCATATAGCGCCATCTATCCGTAGACTAACGACCTTCACAAGCACATATTTGGATAAAAATGTAATGAATGAAGATCCCATTATTTAAATTTCTTTTAGTCACAGTGTTTCAGGTTTTATTATCAATATATTAAAATAACTAAAACAATACAATATTTAAATGAACAATAACTTTCAATTAGCTTCTATTGTTTTTTCCACATCCTTTGGAGGTGATAAATAGTCTGGTAATTCTTGCACTTCTACCTAAAATTGAGATTTATATTTACACATACTGTAGTCCTCTGTAATATAAAATGTTCTGATATTATTTTTTGTTTATATTATATGATACTGTACCTTTGTTGCTTTGAGGGATACACCTTCAGGTAAGTTTCTTTCTATATATTCTAGTAACGTATCAGCTGTAGAGCCTGTTACACGTTTATACTGTACAAATGAATAGTAGGTTCTATATTCATATTGTACCCTGTGCTTTTTGTAAATATGAACACATTTGAGTACTGTGAATCTTTCATGAGTAGGTTTTCTCATATTCCATCTAAAAAAGATGTACAGAAAAATGTATTGTTCAAAGATGTTCACGGATTATAAAACAACTTACGTTTTGCAATCTATTTCAAGATGTTGTCCTGTGGTCGAAGCAAATTTACAGAAACTTTTTAATACAGCAGGATCATTACCGCGTAGCTCTAATTCAACTACTTTATAGAGTTTGTCTGGCTCTTGTACCACACTCTTAGCAGTTGCTAATGCGGACAAGTTCCTTGGGGCATAGCAAGATACATTTTGTATCCTTGAAAATTGCTTCAAAAAATTCTGAAATACAAACAAACTTAGGTACTTTTTGTTATTTTTTCCCATTTATTCATCATACCATCATTAAAATTTTTATCCACACTCACAACCTCAAAAATGACATATAGACGACAGAGATCACGGCAAATGACATCACACGGATTTCGGATCCGCTAGAAATAATTAAAAAAGTAGGCGTGCCTTATCAATTAATTATATCAAGACCACGCCTTTACAATGACATTCACCACGCCCTTTTATCAAGACTACCAATGACAGCCACGCCTTCACACAGAATTGGACTGTTAGATAATGCTTACGCTGCCTTTTTTGAGGAAGAAACCATACAATCAACAGTTTATACAACATGTGCTGTCATACAGATTGATTGAAAACTGTATAAATGAATACTGTTTTGTTTCAAGTGGTTGAGAGAACAACAGTCTTGCATGTGTAATACGGTGGTAGTGTACCTGAATTTTTCACCAGTTGGCACACTTTAGGTTTTTTATGGCATATCTCACTCACTTAATTCTTACATGTATCCGCGGTACTATTGCGCCTTGTAGAACTTCGGATTTCACTGTTTTTCACTTGAAACTTATAGGGGGTAGTCTGATAGATTATTTCAAAACAAAAAAAGTGTGGATGAATCACGCTTTTCATGAAATTTTTTTCCAATACATAGCATCTGTAGTAGCTATTTCCTCTATTATTTTCACCGCCATCTGCCATATATGTTGTCTGTTTGTCTGTGCATATGCCATATGGGAGATGCTTGCCTGCGGTGTTGCCGGATTGGGCTCCGCATTTAGGGAAAAATATGAAAACTGGAAAATTTATATACATACGTATATTAATGACATAATAACGATAAAAGAAACAAAAAAAATAAAATAACACAGCAGTAAATTAAAAAAGGATTAAGGGAATTATTATAGAAAAAAAAATGTGCATTATGAGGTAGTAGTAAAATATATTTTTGAACACACATAGGTAAGTATGAGAAGTGATCATTCACCACCTCACGGTTCCTGCTTCAAAGCTGGGTATCAAGGATTAAGGTACAGGCTTGCCACCCTTTCTCGTTCTCATACTCTTAATTACTTGAGTCCTGACGGTTTCCCACCAATACAACTACATACTACTACTTCATAATGCACAATTTTTTTTCCATAATTATTAGGAATCCCTTTTTAATTTACTACTGAGTTATTTTAGTTTTTTGTTGCTTTTTCGTTATTTTGTTTCATTAATATATATATATATATATATATATATATATGTTTTGTGGTTGAAATAATGGTGGAAATAGCTGCTAAAAATAGAGTATTTTGGGAAAAAATTCTCATGAGAAACATCCTTCATCCACACTTGTTTTGTTTTAAAATAATCTATCAGACTACCCTGTATAAGTTTAAACTGAAAAAACAATGAAATCAAAAGTTCTACAAGACGCATCAGCACCTGTATTCGCATCATTTTCAATCAGCAATTGTGAGAAGATTTTAAATCTCGTTTATTAAATTCTGATTTTTTTGCAGTGTATGTTTCTGGAGAAATGGCATCAAAAATTGTATTTTTATTTTTATAATATTGGCAGTATTGATTTACGTACATCTCGTGTCAAATTTTGACAGGTCATGAGGTGACATTCCGTTCATCATATGACGAATGCATTTTTATAGTCTCCTTCTCTCCTTTTTTAAAGTCTTGGCTATTTGACAATAAATAAAAGTACGGCCAGCGGGGGTCTCAATCCGAAATGACGAAATATTAAGTTTTCAACAACGAACTTGACTAACGATCGTCACCAAAAAAGTTGCCGGTAAAAATCTAATTGTTTGCGTTCAATTTTCTATCAACACCAACACAACTCTGTTTATATATTTTGCTCGTATTCCTTTGATGTTCCTTACTGGAAATCAGAATGTTTACTCAAGAACTAAAAATACACCCCCGAGAGTGTTGAATATATAATTAAATATTTCGGAAACGGAATTATGCAGTTGGACTTCCAGTGTATCTAATGTTGCTGGTCAATATCGCTACTACAATGATAGTAAGTAATCCATACGATTTAATTAACTTAATGGCATAATAAAACCTTTTAGATTAAGTACCTACACGGACCCATTCAGTAAATGATTATGTGACATCACCATGACACAGACAGCAGTGTATCTAATCTTGGAAGTAAAAGTGTGAATGTACATTTCTAAATTCTCAGTGAACTGAAACACAAACCAAACAGTCATACAGCATGTCTAAGGAGTCTGAAGAGGAAAAACATGCTGTTTTTGTCACCCCTCCATATTGCAAAACAAAATGCAAAGATACAGGTTTGGTTTTTGAGGAGGATGAGATACCACTGTCTACCCTTGAAATTTCTGATCCTGGACATGTTTTGAGATTATGTGAAAACCTCACAGACAGGTCTACCAATCGGTTAGAGCTGAAGATCAATAGATATGTAAGTATTATGTTTTGGTGCTGTTTGTTGACAGAATATTTATGATTGATTAGCACTTGATCAAATAAAATAATCTTATCTCATGTTGTATGATACTTATCATATCAGCATTCCATAAAACATATTGATTTTAAGCTGGAATAGATAACAAAAATTTTCCACCAAATAAGCTTTTATGATTGATTTACATGATTGATAACTACATTTTTAACTTAACTGATTAACATGCTTTTCATCAACCTTTTTTATTATTTGCATTGATATTTTCCATTTTATATACAAGGTGATCCTGAAAACGCGGTTTTGAAGTTACAATTTGAAATCAAAAAAATATCTTCAGAGACATTTGCTTGTACATGTATAATACAAGCCCCTTCCCACTTCAGTTGTACCAAAATATGCCTTTATAAACTAAACATGACGAAACTCTACTTCTAAAACAATTTATTTTCTTAAAAACATTTTAGATACACTCTAGTCATAAAAAATACATATTTGAAATCACTTAGACCTATAACTGATAGAACATCTGAACAAATAAACAATGAGCGAATAAATGCGCGAAGTTAGCAAAGCAAGAATTGAAAGATTACCATTGGGTAACATCACCTTCATTTTTTATTACGGTTGAAATTCTTTGGGGCATAGTGTTAACCAAGTTTTGGCAACAATTTGGTGTAAAACAATCCCATATTTCTTGTAGCTTTTGTCTCAGTTCGGTGATTGTACGAGCAGGATGTTGTCATAGAACCTTTTTCATCTCGTGCCACAAAGTTTCAATAGGTGACAGATCTGGACAGCTAGAAACCTATTTCAAAAGTGGTACATTATTTTCTTCCATCCATTTTATAGCCTTTTTTGAGGTATGGCACGCTGCACCATCTTGCTGAATCACAAAATCTTGCGTAAAAGCAATTCTACTTGCCAAATATTTGTTTGTATCCACATTTCCATCAATAAAATGAAGTTTTCCTACTCCTTTTGATGACATACTGCCCCAGACCATAATGGATGCTGGAAATTTCACTTTTCTCTTCAGACAGTCAACATAGAATGCTTCATTTTTTTTGCGAATAACTCTACTGGGACTGTCACCAACACAAACATCAAATTGGGCCTCATCACTCCATTATATTGCACACCATTGTTGAGGTGTCCATTGTCTATGTTCTTTAGCCCATCTAAGCCGATTTTTCTTTTGTGATATTACTTTTTTCACATATCGTGGCTTAATATTAACTGAACCAGTTACGTTATATCTTCTAACAATATTTCTCACACTGTACCGCGATAAGTCTAACAAAGTTGCAATTTCTTAGTTTGATTTCCCAGAATTAAAAAATTTAATTATCAGTAACTGAATTTCCTTTCCTCTACCCATTTTGAAAACCTTAATTACCCAAAAGTATTTTAAACGTATTCTGACAGCTGTGATTAATAAAAACAATTGTCATGGCTTTTATTTTTCACAGCCACCTATGCGTTATACACTTATTTTGTATTGAAATGAAAATAGGTTGATATGCTGTAATTGCAACATGTGTTATTTTTATCCTGCAACTTTGATTAGGGAGTGATAAAGTTGGTGTTTTCTACTATATATTATCAAAATATTCATTGTTAATATTTTAAACCTATAACACCCTGCTACATTTTTATTATTTGTGTTTTGATAAGAAAAAAACTAAGATTTCAATAGTTGGGCCAACTGAAGTGGGAAGGGGCTTGTATAATAGCATAGCCGACACATAACATTTTCATGCCTGAAATTATACCATTGTGAAAATCTTAACCACTATAGAAGAAAAAACGAAATTATTTTCTGTGCCACTGACTTTTTTGAAACATCTATTGTATTTTTTATTGAAGATACTTAATTTTACTTGAGTCACCTCTTGTAAGAAATTTTTCTTTGAGCTCCTTCTGGAGACAAATCATTCTACTTTGAAAACATGCTGCAGTTAGTGAAGTTTGACATCAAAAATTGTATGGATACTAAGAGAGTAATCCTATTCCACCATAGCATTCTTTGAAAAGTATTAATGTTTTGTCCATATTTAGTCATTCCATTGTGATGAGTGGGACACTCGTGTTCACTTAAACGTCAACTTATTTCTTTCTAACTGCTAATATATTTATCTTAAATATTATCCAATGATAAAGATAAATGGTCATTTTAGCCTTAACCAATGGAAGAGACAATAAAATGTCATTTTACCATGCTGACTGGCAAGGAAGTATTGTAATGGTGCAAATGTTCGAAAATAAGATATTATATTTTTGGATGTCTGTCTGCTAATCCTTGGGCTGTGTGTGGAAGGTACTGGTTGAATTTAGAAGAATTTTCCACACAAGGTTATTACTATGGAACGGATGAAAAAGCTTTATAGTTTTTGAAAATCGGGACCAGTAACGGAGGAAAAAAGGCTAAAAACGAATAAAATAATTTAGTTTTTTGACGTTTCAGAGGATCCCGGCCATTTTTTAACATTTTTTTAGGCATACATCATCAGCATATTTTTGAAATAGAATCAGCTTTTTTATATTCCATATATTTCAGATTCTTGCCTTTGCTCTAGCAATATTATCACTATATTTTTGAACACCTTGTATAAGGAAAAAATCATCAGCTAATAATTCTTTAAATATCATTTCCATCCTTTAAAATTTTTTTCAAATTTCTTCATTTCAAAAATCCATGGTGAACGATATTTCCTGAAATACTGTAAAAGATTACTTCCAGTGTATGCGAATTATTTTCAGTTGAAACTAGAAACACTCTCAGAGATGGTCTTCATGATTAACCTATTGACTGTGTCTGAGGAAGCTGTCATAAACGTGCTGTATGACAAAATACTTGATAGTCCTAAACGGACACCCTTGGCAGATGATACAATAGGCAACATAATCAAATACAAAGACGAATGCCTAATCTGCGCAGAAACTTTGGATCCCAAGATACAAGGCTTGATCGATGAGGTCATCCCCAAAGGGTCTGGGGATCTTACTATCGTTCCGATTGTTGCAAAGGAACAACGAAGTAAGGATTTGATTTTTTTTTGTTATTTCAAATATATTCTCCTACACCTTATTCAAACTTCATTTACGCCGCGTCAATACAAAGATGAACAATCAACCATCGCTTTTATTCATTTGTTGCTGCGTGCCTACTGGCCAATAGGAGCTCGAGAATTTGAAAGTCGTGCACTCGTGTTTGTTATAATAGTAACAATAAACGTCTTTTACTGAGGGAGAAGTTTATCTTGAAGCTGAAAGGTTTAGGCGAAAAAATAATCACTTTTGATTTTGAAGGTTTTTTGATTTTATGATTTTTTGCATAGTGATTCATTGATATGATGTCTTCATTGATTTCATATTCAGCGATTTGAGTTTTGCTACTATGGAAGTTGTTATGAATTCGAGAGTCATCAGCAAAATTGAATATGACAGTATTTAACAAATGTGTGCAAGTTGGACATATATAAATTGAATAATAATGGTCCGAGTACAGAACCTTGGGGTACTCCAGATAAAATGGCATACTCAGGCGACACATCCATATTACTAGTAACTCTTTGACAAGTCCTCTTTTTTAATCCTGACAAACCCCAGCAGTACCGCGTTGCTGGAATTGAAATCCGTACTGCAAAATTATCCAGCGACGTGTATGTAAACCAAACTGTATACTTTGTCCGCCTCTAGAGACCTGTACGTCATTTTCATTTGAATTCGTGGGATATAATGATGTTTCCTTCCCACCCCCCTATTTAACTACCGTACCGTGTTCAATTAGGAAATGAATGAAATCGATAGTCCACGGGGAAACATTGGCACTGACCCCCGCATTATTGCGTTGGTCTTAATCGACGATCAAGGTTAACTTTACCGGATATTTTTACTCGTTTGTTATGACATATGGCGAGAACGTTTAGTTGGAAAAATAGGAAACGGAATTTCAATTTGAACGTCATTACAAGAGACGCTACATGTTCCGACTATCATCTGTTACAATAGAATTAATACCGAAATGAGGCTCTACCGTGATCGACGTGTAACCCAGTACGATTGATATAACGTCTCTCTGACGTTTAACTAGAGCTGCCTTTCAAAATCATGACACAGGAACATTAAGTTACAGTCAGTATTGGGTTGCCTGAAAAACTGTGGAATCCTTGGCACATCACTGTTATTTGCCACGTCTATTTCAAAAAGCGAATTTGAATCTTAAAGTGCAATTTATCTTTTGAAATTTATTCTGTGATTGTTTCTATGACCTACTTACATTAATATGGTTAAAAGCTAATACTTTATAATTTGAAAATAGGTCCCATGACAGCCGAAATGTCAGAAGGTCTGGTTTTTTAATCGCTGGTTAATTGTAACTTTCCTGCTGGCCAAAAGTTGACTCTCAAAAAGCGTTTTCCGATGTAAAGTTGGGTATCACGTATCTTGAAAAGTGTCATGATGCCGTTTTTTTTTGGCATTATGCTGTTTTTTTTTGGCATTATGTAGGTTTTTCTACAAGATATTAACTTAGCACTTAGTTGTACGTGTTGCCTAAACGTCATGAGGCTTGTTATCAATCTTTGGCTCTGATGTGATGTAAAATCTGCTTCTGAGACGGCATTACTGGAGGTCTAAGCTGTAAGTTGTATGTGTTGATAATTACATTGGGTTCTTCTCTCAAATACACTTAATTGAGATTCAAAGCTAGAAATTGGTTGCACATCCACTTTTTCTTATCCATTCTGGAAATTACATATACAAAGTTGCTGAATGAGAGAGATAAGAAATAATTATATTCACTGTACACTGTCGAATTACAAGCCATATACATGCTAACAGTAATTACACACAACGCGGGCGCGGTGATGATTTCCCGTAATTATCTTCAGTTTTTCGTAATTTATAACCTTGAACATAACCTCTCTTCAGAAAGCACAACATAAAAATAACCCGCCAATAGATATACTTCATTGGCAGCATATTCAGTAATGTTTTTCTCACACAGCAAATATCACTGATTTTATACACATTCATACCAATACGCATAATCATCCAGATGCGATCTTGCTATTCAACCAACTTTCTTCTCAGAGATAAAAACTACAGACAAGAACCACTCGGCCTAACAAACATATGCAACCAATAATGCGTTTAGTTTAGTTGAATGATTCCTCCCTTCGATGGACGTTCACAACGATCCTAGTGAGCAAACGTGGAATGACTGTTTGCGCCCTAAAAACTACCTAGTTTGCAAGATGACATCTTATAGGTTTTTTTTGACGTTTTATAGGTTTTTTACATGATACCCATGCCGGACCTTACGGCACTGATTCATGATCTCTGGTTTATAATTGTGCAAGGTTTATTTTTTCTCGAATATATTGAAAACTTTAGATTGATCTTGATTGATTGAGATTCAATGGTAATGCGCTTTATTGGCGAGATACGCGGCGAAGTGTACTAATTTTAGGCAGTACGATAGTAAGACGTCACTGTCTAGGTACACCTATTGATTATAGGTCACGATAATACAAACCTAAAGCGCTGCCTATACACCCGCTGCAATGCTTCCCACGTATCTTGTAGCGTCTATCAGACTAACCAGTGTTTTGTTTTTCAGCCAATGTACCTAACAGATATGCTATGTGTCCTGTATATTTGATATGCTTTTTGAATTCTCGCAAAGATACACATTACATATCGAGCCTAGTCAACGAAACATTCAGGTAAATAAATATTGAGATTATTTTCATCTACTCTCACGGTCTTAGGATTTTTTGGAGATTTCTCATATACCGTTCAATATTTTACCGAAAGAAAACCTTATCGTGTCGCAATCTTTATGAATATTTTATTTAAAGTAAACGCTAGAACTTGTTTTCACTTTTCGTTTTTGAATGGTATCGCCCAAAATCCGAATCCCACTTCTAACACCATTTTTCCAAATTATCAGGTATTGCTTAGCTATATTATTAAACACGAGAGAGTGCGAAGAGGAGAGAAGGTTAAAGCAGCAATGTCAGTCCTTGCTCACGGTCGCCAGAAAATTGTTTTCGCATCTGGGCGACCTGAGCGATCTTCTGAAAGAAATAATGTCAGAAGCGAGGAGACTGACGAATGCTGAAAGATGCTCGCTGTTCTTGCTGGATCCTGATCATATGCACCTGGTGGCTAAGGTGTTTGATGGGGTCAGTTCAGCGGAGAAGAGCCAGGAGGTGCGGATTGCCAAAGATCAGGGGATAGCAGGTAAAAATTCTCAAATCTATCGTATTATACAAAGGGTACTATAAAAAGTTTTGTAGCATTGAATGAATTGCTGCCGCATGAAGGTGTAAGGTTTCCTCTATCTGCTGGTATGTTGCGGGTTGCGGCCTTTCTCCCCTCTCAGAGTCCTTCAAAGTGAAATCGTACCTTTGGAATTCTCTGTACCACCTGTATATGGTCGTACGATGAGGACAATCATTCTTTAAGGCCTTGTCCAGGAAGGGCGAATTCGCCGCGATTCTCTCGCGCGTGTTTCGCGCTACCGTTGCGTCCACACATAGCGTACCAACGCGCAAGCATTCAGGGAGGAATTCAGTACGAAACATGGAGTTGAACGAAGCGGTCTCGTTGTGGTTAGCTTACCGTCGCTGGAAGAGACAGAAACGGAGGGAAAATAGAATGTATTTAGTACATCCAATTCTTCATGATAGAATGACCCATAGTATGTTTGAAACTTTGTATCCAAAATTAAGACAACATGAGAAGAAATTTTTTAACTACTTTCGTATGTCCGTGAAATCGTTTGATGATTTACTCTTATTAATTGGAGAAGATTTATTGCCACGTGCAAATTATGTTCCGCGCGAGGATGTTGTTTCACCAGAACAGAAACTCGTGATAACTTTAAGGTAAGTAGTGTTTTATTCATAATCTCTTATATTACTAACACAGTCTTTTAAAATAAAAAAATATTCTTACTAATAAAAACGAACTAAATGTACTATGAGATTAAATATAATAATTAAACAATGTCATGGTTTTGGAAGAGGTTAAGACATTCACTATCCTGAGAATCTCTTGATGATGTTGATGGAGAATTTACGTATAATGCTGCCTGTGAAGATCCTGGCACTGAATTAGAATTGCGGCCTTGCCAAGTTGTTACGGGTGGCGTTTCTGGGTCGTATTCTTGAAAAGTAAATTCATTTGGTCTTGTAGGTTGTGCATGGTATCGAACCGGAATTGAAGTTGAAGATGAAGCCGAACTGTTAGAAAAGTACGAATACGAATTGTTTGAATACACAGTTGATTGCGAAGATTGTTGACCTGCTTGCAAAATTTTCATTAATTCAATTTTTACTGCTATACGATTGGCCTCAGGTACCTTAAGTAATTCTTTGTGTAAAGATAAGCAGAACAGTTTGTCATCATCACCTTCCATTACGCTGGAAAGCAGTGGCTGTTGTTGATTCCTAGAGCTTATATTTTTGTTAATTATGTTCAGGAATTCAGCATCACCAGCAGTCATTTTCTTTCTTTTAATATTTTGATTCGGCGGCCTCATTATGTCTTCCCTTGCATCTGCTGTAGACTCTTCGTTACCTGTCTCTAAGTTTTCTGAGGTGTCTGAATATTGCTTTCTGTTTTTTTATTACGTAGTGACCTTTCGAGAAACATAAGACGTTGAAAATATATATATTGAATCTTCGAAGCTCCAGAGCCTGATGGTGCATTCTTTGTTTTTTTTATTTCACGAACAAATGTGTCGCGAAGGCCTTTCCACTTTTTTTGAAGAGTATACCTGAAATTAACAATTTCACAATAATTTTCAATTTTGTTTCAGGTACTTAGCAACTGGCTGTTATTTTGCTGACTTACATTATGCCTATAGATTAGGAAAATCAACTGTAATTGACATCGTTCAAAAAACTATGTATGTTATTTGGAATAAGTTAAAAGATATAGTAATGAAAGAACCTTCGACAGAAGAGTGGATGGAAATTGCAAGAGGATTCGAAAAATATTCACATTTTCCTAATTGCATTGGAGCAGTTGATGGGAAACATATTAGAATTATAAAACCTTTAGATTCCGGCTCTATGTTCTACAATTATAAACATTTTTTTTCGACTGTGCTGCTTGCCGTATGTGATGCAAATTATTGTTTTATCTCTATAGATGTTGGAGCATGTGGGAAGAGCAATGGTTCAACGATTTTTAAAAACTCCACATTCTTCAAAAAACTCACGGAAAAATCTTTGAACATTCCGGGACCAAAACCAGTCTCAGAAATTCGTACAACACGTTTACCTCATGTTATAGTTGGAGATGAGGCATTTAGCTTATCAGAACATATTATGCGACCATATTGCGGCAAGAATTTAACCAAAGAAAAACGAATATTTAATTACCGCCTCTCTAGAGCAAGACGTTATATTGAGTGTTGTTTTGGAATCCTGGTAAACAAGAGGAGAATATTTCACAAACCACTCAATGTACATATTGAATTTGCGGAAAACATAATTAAAGCTTGTTGTGTTCTTCACAATTACGTCAGGTTAAGAGATGGATACAGATACGAAGACACATTGTTCGAAACAGCTCTAGATGGTCTGAGTACGACTACAATTCGACCTGGTGTAAGGTCTCGAAACACGAGGGATATATTCGCTGATTATTTCATGAAGGAAGGTCGACTGCCGTGGCAAGAAAAAATGATCTAATTTTCTTTGTTTGTTACTAATCAATAAATTAATAATAATTACGTACCTAAATCTTTCTTTTTTTCCTCGGAGTTATCTTTATCAGAAAATACTGACACCAGTTCTTCCCAAGACCTACGTTTTAAAATCCTGTTGGCATAATCAGGTGATTCCAAATCCCATATCGCCGGTCTTTTTTCTATTTCGTCTATAAACAATTCCGTGTCCAAATTTTGGCGCTCCATTTCCCTCGATACGTGCACTCGCTCTAGAGTTCGTGCGTTAAGTGGACGCAACAAGGCGTTCCCTAGTATCTCGACTCGGGCGCAATACGCGCGAGTCGAGAGTCTGGCGTAGTGCACGCGATTAACGCGCGTATTTTGAATTCGCGCGATGCTTGTGGACGCGACGTATTGATGTCAAGTATCTCACTAACGCGCGAATGATTTCGCGCTAAACGTTTCGCGGCGAATTCGCCCTTCCTGGACAAGGCTTAAGGCGGCTGCGACGCAGTGAGTTACAAGCCATTTACAAGGGTTCAGCTGCTTCGAAACTGACACTCTATTTTTCAATATTTTTGAATGAAATTCATACAGCATGTTTTATGATCGGTTGAAGTGCGCACTTTTTCTGTTCAACTTCGCGATTTTTTTAAATGAACCTAGTGAAAAAAATGAAAAAGTGGCTCTATAGCACCCTGTGGGGTTTTGTTTTCAACACTGAAAATTTCATCCAAAAATATCAAAAAATAAAGCGTCAAATCGTATTTTGGACGAATTTTGTCTACTATTTCGTGCTGCCAACCCAAGCGTTGCGGCGCAATGTACGGACTAAGAAAGGACGTATTCAGATTATTTGGTGGCCCTATTTCATATAATATCGCGTAGATAAGTCGTTCTGCAAATAGGTACTCATAATCGCGATCGCTGATACTCCTCGATTTTAAAGCCGTTTCACTTCCCACGCCATTGGCGATTAAGTATTGTAATCGCGAAACATTTTAAAAATGAGATGTCATGTTTTTTTAAGTAATATGACATCTACTTCACGAAACACTGTACCACTCATTATCAACTTTAGTCCAGTGACAACGGTGCTATAGGCAAAAAAGAAAAAGTAACAATTGCTGAAACTCCGTTTTGACGTTTCAGGGGTTCCTAATCATTGACATTAAAAAATTGTACTGCTTAAAAGGGGGGGGGGGTTGAAATCAGTGAAGAAAAGAAGCTTCTGATCCCAGTGATTACAGGAAATTTAAGTAACGAAAATGCGACGAATAATGTGCTCACGATTTGAAAAAATCGGTACCTGCTCTATAGGTTTTACACCAAGAGCCATCAGATTTGCAACGACCGACAGTAGGGAAGAATAAATTCGACTATCACTCCAGTCAAGTGTAGGGGAATTTAGCGTGGAACTTTAAAATTATCGATATGTAAAGGAAATATGTTTTTGAGAATGATAATTTGGTAGATTTTATACCTGCATTTAGAACAATACTAAATGATCACTTGCTGAGTACCAAAATGGGAAACGATTTACAGGCTAGATCGCTAATCGAAATCCGACTCTGTTATTATAAAAATTTACCTCGGTATGCACCCGCAGTCAACCTTTCCTCTTTTAAAGTAGCGCCGACGACAGTCTAAGGCCAGCCCACCCTCGTTTCCTTTTCACCCCTCCTTTATCCCAGCAGATGGTGCTATTGATTGTAGGAGCCTCGTTAAAGCAAGCGTTATTCCTTCTATGCACTGGCCTATGCTTAAACCACGCGTAAAGTTATACCGTAAAATTGTCCTGATCTCACTACGAGACCTCGATGCCATAGTCCGCACTTTACACTGTCAATACGAATGAACAACGAAATCAACAGTCGTGCTGCTGGCGGCTACTATGCACTCATAGACATGTCTCAACCTGAAGTCTCCTGCGTCCGTTGTTGTGATACCGCAAAACTTTTATAGTACCCTTTGTAACTATACTAAGTGACATATAAATCCGAACACCCAGTTTAAATGGTTTTATTTTAATAAAAGTTGGTGAATGTATTTATCTTACTGTAAATAACAAGTGAAAAAATTTTCAGCCTTAGGCCGTTTGTTAACGAACGTTTTTTTACCGGGTAACGGGCCGGTGCTAAACGGATACCCTTGTCGAAGATTCATTTATTTCACGGAGATGATTCCGTTGTCTATATTAAAACTCCAAAATCTCGCCAGTTTTAAAACAAGTGTGCAGCGTGCAGCAATGCAGCAAACATGTTGTCGACAAAGACGAAGCTTATATTAGCATACTATTTGTACAAAAAAAGGCAGATGAAAGAAAAGCGCAAAAGGAAAATGTGGGTACATCCTATTTTATTGGAACGAGAAACTTATGGTGTTTTTCATACACTTTTTGAAGAATTACAGAAAGACGAAACTAAATTTTTTAATTTCTTTCGCATGACTCAAGAGAGTTTTCGCAAATTATTAGGAATGGTACATAATAAATTAAAACGTGCTGACACTAATATGCGCCTACCCATTTCACCTGCTGAAAGATTAGCTGTAACCATTAGGTATGTATGAATATGTTATTGTTAATACAATATAAATAAAACTTCTAACGTATTGATTAAGTTTTATAATATTCAAAGTCAAGTTAATACATAAGACAAAAAATATTGATAGGACCCGGGTGATTTTGCAAAATCGAAATCTATATTATAGCTTTGACTCACGGATGAATGTTGACTGTCGATTGATGACGGTCCCAAAGAATATTCATCAGTCGGCGAAGATGGTACTCTAACATGTAATGTTTCATATTGACGTGATTCGTTCAATGTATTTTCACGATAATTTGTAGTTGAAGTCGATGGTGTAGTACGATATCCCCCATATGAATTTGAATTCATATTATTCTGGGCAATCTGAAGTGATTGTGATTGAAATGTCATTGAATTGTTGTTTTCATAGTAATTTCTCTGGGGCTGCAAACTATGCTGCGGCATATTTTTTTTCTGAATGTTTCGCATGGCTTTAATTACCTCGTACTGAAAATTTACGATATCAGCATCACAAAATTTTTCTATGGTCGGTGCAATTCCTTTAAAAAAACACATTATTCTGCTATTGTCTTCTTTTTCGGAAGAGTCTAGTAGGTTACTAATCCTTTTGTTCAAGGGATCCTCTTTAACTTCTTTCTTCCCTCTCTTTTTTGGGACTGAACAGTCATCTTTGACCGCGGTTTCTACGTCGGTTTCAGCAGATGGCATATTTGTTTCTGTTGGTCGATGACTCACAATTTTATTTAAAAATTGCATCTGCTCATAAAATTTATATTTTGTAATTGGCTTTGCTTCAGAACCTGACTTGTACTCTTTCATTTTCTTAGAACATCTCATCCAGTTATCTCTTGCATTACTCCACTTCTTTATAACTTCTTTGCCTGAAAATAAAAACATTAATAAATAACATTATTTGTAGTTTTTTACAGATACTTGGCATCAGGAAATACATTCACGGATCTTCAATACACATTTAGAATGGGAATTAAAACTATAAGTTATATTGTTCGAGAAGTATGTAAAGCAATATGGTCCGAATTGCAGATATATATGAAAATTCCGTCAGAAGAGGAGTGGTTAATGATAGCAAACAATTTTGAGAGTGCATCGAATTTTCCTTTGTGCTTAGGAGCGGTAGACGGGAAACACATACGAGTTATAAAGCCAGAAGAAAGTGGTTCAATGTTTCTAAACTATAAACATTATTTTTCAATTGTGTTGATGGCTGTGGTAGACTCAAATTATAATTTTATTTTCATTGATGTTGGTGCCTATGTCAAAGAATGCGATTCGGCATATAAATACATTTAAGGAAACAGAGTTTTGGAAAAGTTTAGTGAACAATAGATTAAATATACCACCATATACCAACAAATTGGGAACTCAGTGTGAACTACCCTATGTATTTGTTGCGGACGAGGCATTCGCATTACATGAACATTTACTTCGCTCGTTTGGTGGGCATCAACTCGATGATGTAGAATGAACATTTAACTATCGCCTGACAAGAGCAAGGCGGTACGTTGAATGTGCGTTTGGGATAATGGCGAATAAATGGCGAATTTTCCATCAACCATTAAATGTATCAACGGATTTAGCAGTCGACATAGTAAAAACTTGTTGTTTGTTGCAAAATTTTATCCACAAAGAAGAAGGAATTATTAATAATATGGCATGTGATTTATTGCTACTGACTCTGATTCCGCCCTGCTCGATATACCTAGTTCAAATTCGGTAAGAGGTTCTTTAACAGCCAATAATATCCGCAATAAATTTGCGGAGTATTTTATGACACCAGAGGCGAGATTGCAGTGGCAGAATCAATATGCTTAAGAAATGTTGTATGTATTTCTATTCTAATTCTTAAATAAATAATGAAAACTTACCAACATCGTTTTTTTCTTTGTCCGATAATGTATCGAAGCTTTCATGTACCTACTCGTAAAATCATGCAGATTTATTTCCATGCCGTAAAATTGAGCTGCTTATTTTTGTAAATCTCTGTGGTTTTGTCCCATAGTACTGGTCTCTTTTCCACGGCACTAATTAAAGCTTCTATATCAATTTGGTGATCCATATTTTATGTACACACGTGGAGCCTTTTAAACACAAACTAAACAAAATTGTTGGGGAGCTAAAACGGATGTCCGTCCGACGTCTTCAACAGACTTGCATTCACTTGCACGATTCACTGCATCGGGCCGATGAACGTCGCTCGAGGGAGATCGGATGTGTAGCCGGCGGGAAGGCAGCCAACGGATCGACTCCCGTTGCGTGAACAAACGTTCATATACACCTGAAGACTACTGAACTACGGGCACCGGTCCGTTTTTAAAAACGGACCGTTGGCCGTTGCCGTCAACAAGAGCTCTTATCAGTTGGACATTCCGGTTTTTATACTGCTTTTTTTTTAATTCACTAACGCTCTAAAAATGAATATTTCAGCCGCAGTAAAGAATCAACGTTGGCGGATTTTGGTTATTGACATCCTTTACGATCGGTTACGATGCCTAGAGTACGGAGACCTGTACGATTTCGTCAACTTAGTGAGTTTGATAGGGGCCGTATAGTGGGACTTCGGGAAGCTGGACTTTCTTTTCGGGCAATTGCAGTTAGAGTGCAAAGAAGTGTAGACACTGTGGTTAGGTGTTGTCAGGCATGGCTTCGAGAAGGCCGTACGCAAAGAGCAAGGGGCACTGGACGCCGCCGTAGAACAACAGACCGCGAAGATCGCCGCCTAAGATTATTGGCCTTAAGGACCGTTTCTCCACTACCAGGTCCATTGCAAATGAATGGTTTGCAGAACACGGAAGACCTATTGGCATGCGAAGTGTTTACCGACGAATGAGAGGTTTTGGCTTGTTTTCATACCGGCCACACTGGGTCCTCCCTTTAACGCGAGAACACCGACGTAATCGCCTTGGGTGGTGCAGACAACGGTCACTCTGGGATGAGGAATGGAACAGTATTGTCTTTAGTGACGAGTCTCGATTTTGTTTAGGCATGCACGATGGTCGTGCCAGGGTTAGAAGGCGACGTGGTGAAAGGAGGAATCCACAGTTTTTTGTTGAAAGACATGTTCATCACACTGTTGGAGTTATGGTTTGGGGTGCTATAGCTTATGGTTCCCGGTCACCTTTAATCTTCATCAGAGGTAACATGAACGCAGCGTTATATCCACGAAGTCTAGAACCCATCTTTTACCCTATCTTGACACCCTGGCAGATCCAACTTTCCAACAAGATAATGCCCGACCACATGTTGCAAGAGTCACAAAAGACTTCTTTCAAGATAATGATGTCACATTGTTACCATGGCCACCAAGATCTCCCGACTTATCCCCAATTGAGCACGTGTGGCATATGATGGGTAGGAGATTGCTTAATTTGCAACGTCCTCCTCAGACTCTAGAAGCACTTCGAGAGGAGTTGGTGGTTGCCTGGAATGAGATACCACAGGAGGACATTGACCACCTGATCAGAAGCATGCCTAGGCGCGTTGGAGAATGCGTAGCACATCAGGGTGCATCCACACATTATTAAAGGTCAAAGGGCTTTAAAGCTGTGCAATCATTTTGGAATTTTTATCATTTACTTATTATGCTTCATTAAGTACTTATACAAAATTTTATTAAAATAAAACCATTTAAACTGGGTGTTCGGATTTATATGTCACTTAGTATATCAACGATAAACAAAAACAACAGGGTGCCATAGAAAAATCCAATTATTACACAATTCTAGCAGGGCATTGGAAATTGTAAAGAAGTGCCAAAGCGGACCTGGAGTATGTATTTAGTACTTGCGGATTTACCCCTTAAAGTCGGAGGATCTCAAAATGTCCGAATTACTTTTGAGAGCCTAATTGACCAGTTCAGTTAACATAAAATTTCTAATAGGGCACTGGAAATTGTGTAGTGCTAAAAGAGCCTCAAGGACTAGGTGCTTACGGATTTATTGTTTTTTAAAATTAGATGAATCACCAAATGTTTGGATTATCTTCTCAAATTACATATTGGAGTGCTAAGGTCCCGGGGACCGTGTCAGTAACCGTCTGATTGCCGTTCTAGACGTGACGAAACTTCTCTGGCCATAAATTGATGACGGCTACCAAAAATCCATGACTTTCAGTTGATGGGTTCATAGGTGATATAAACGATAACAAACGCGCCATTTCATTCAGGTCACGTAGCCGTAACCGGCAAATTGCTGAACATAAAGACCGCCTACAAACATCCCTTGTTTTCAAGGGCATGGACGAAACAACCGCTTCAAAACCCGCAACATTTTGTGTTTCCCCATAAGGGATGAAGATAAGATTGTCGGGGTGGGTAGCACAGTTGTGCAACAAAACGAACGGAAATTTCGATTATTTCGACGAACAAGTTGCTAACGCTTTTAGTATTTATTGGCGGCATTTCGATCATGCATAGTTTGATCTACAAGAAGATCAGGGATGCCCAGGCGAGGAGTCAGCTGTCCAACCGAACTGATGACATATCATATGAGGGTAAGTAATCACTACTGAAAGTCAGTTACTAAACACTAATTTGGCATTCCAAAATTTATAGTTTTTTAATAAAGGTAAGCAAATTATTCAAGAAATTATGCACGGAAATGTTTGGTTGATGCTTAAGTGATGTCTTTTTTGGTAGTACTCGTTACATTTTACGAAAATAGATCAAGATATCAATATGTGTTTACGTGTCGTCAGTCCATAAAAGATTATGTTCGGCATACGTTAGCTCTTCTTAGAAAGGCGTATAATAAAGGAATTCAATTGATCAAGTCAGTCATATAGGCTTATACGATTTGTCTCCTACAATCCCCGCCCCCAATTTTTTAACCCTCAAAACTATTTTTCAAAACGTCAAACAATGAAGTTTAAGCGAATTTGTCTTTTTTGCCAGTAGTAGGACCGCCATTGGATCGATTTTTAAAATCTACAAAGCTTTTTATCCTTTGCATAGTAATAACCTTGTTTCAAAATTTCATCAAAAATCCATGGCTACTTTCCAAACTAATACTGCGCAACCATGTACAGCTGTTTCATGCTTGTTGGCAATCATCAGTACAGTGTAGGCTACACAGTGCTATCTCTTACCATAATCGATCACTGCGATAATGAACAGCTATTGCAACTGTAAATATCTTAGTTCGCCTAGCCTATAATATCATGCTGATGGTTCCCAAAAAACATGAAACCATGTAGACTTGAACACATTGTGATATACTGTGTAACATTTAATGCTTAATAAATCTACAACAAACAAATTGGAAATTTCTTACCTTGTGTTATTTGTATGAGCTTTTTTCGTATTTCCACGTGCTGTATTTGGCCTCAGTTTTCGCTGACAACATTTTGTAACACCTTGTGTATATAATAAATGTGGATAATAACTGATATTAGCATATTCCATCTGAAGATACCCAAGCTTTCGTCGTTGCGAAATTCTGAGAATGCGAAATATTTTTATTAGAAATAACTAAGAGGAAAGTTTGATGTCATGTTTGAGAATAAATTATTTACTGGCTCGAGGTCCTTCACATGATATCCGTCTGCTTCTTCGTTTTCATTGGGCTCACTGAAAGAGGGTGATATTATTTGTGCCAGATATCTGTCAGGGGAGATCTCATTTTATCTGTGTCAGAATTTTGTCAAATGTTTAATAATTATCCCTTGAAACCATAGTGATGCAATTTCATTAACATTTTTCCCTATCTATAGTCTCAAATTCCAAAAATACTGTTACCACACATTCTTTCTCATCTATACTTCTCCAGTCCTCTCCCACCATTTGGAGTGATGTTTCTGTAGAATATTTTTTTCTAAATCCAGCTTGATTTTTTGTCAAAATTTTGTTTTCTTCCACATTATTCCTTCGAACAGCTTCTCGACCTCTGCCGCATATTTGTATGTAGCTCAGAATGTTGAACTTTTGGCACAGGATTAATGGTGGAATACTTCAATTTTGATGGAAATTCACCATGTATTAAACAATGATTCACCAATAATAACAATTTCTGTCCAGTTATATTGAAACAATCATTTTGAATTTATTGGTGTTTATTGTCCTGAAATGATTTATTGAATCCTCTTCACTATTTGATTTATACTGCTTGTAAAATAAGTGTCAATTTTTTCTGCTATAATTATTTTTTCTGTCACTACCCCATCTTCAAAACGTATATATGTTTTTTTAATGAAAATTGAGTTTTTTTATTACTTGTTACCGATTTTGTCTGTGAGAATTGTAACTGTATGTCCAAATACAGCATTGGATTGGGCATTTGTTTGGAGTATACGTTAATCAGTTATACAACTTTTTGAAAAACCGCACTTCATATTGTTTCCAGGTCCACGACCAAGACGTGGCAGACGTTCTTATGTGCCCGAACCCGCACGATTACCCGAACTTCGACGATTTCAGTTTCACGCCAAGGAAAATCTTGCACCGAGAATTGCCTTGTTTCGTACTGAAAATGTTCGAGGAATTGAACTTCATAGAAGAGTTCCGAATAAAAAAAGACATTCTGACGAGGTTTATATTGTACGTCAAGAAGGGATACAGGGACCTGCCTTACCACAATTGGTTGCATGCGTTTTCTGTCGCGCATTTTGCCTATTTATGCTTGAAGAATTTCCAGTTGGTAGAAAAAGGCTACATATCGTAAGTATAAGAGTTTTGTTTGATTCTGTGTTATAAACAGTGATAGTTGAGACTATGTATGATTTTTTTTGTAGAAAATTGGAAGCTTTAGCGTACCTCATATCTTGCTTGTGTCATGACATAGATCATAGAGGAACGACGAACTCATTCCAACAGCAGTCAGATAGTGTGTTGGCTAGTCTTTATTCTAGTGAAGGATCGGTCATGGAGAGGCATCACCTGTCTCAGACGATATGCACCTTGAATACTGAGGTAGGAGTTAAAATATTTTTTTATGCTGATATTGATCCAAATTGACAGCAATACCATGTTTTTCTATAAATTGACCACGTCTAGATGTTTTCTAGGAAGAGTTGTGCAGAAAATGTTTGGGTCTTAGGGGCCGTTCAAGTATTACGTGAGCACTATGGGGATCTTTGCTTTGCTTATTTTGGATGACGTGGGGGTAGGGGAGTCTAGATGATGATTACGTCATCGGTAGTTATTTACTTTTTTACACGAATGGCAACCCTCACATTGTCTTTGCTTGAAAACGAAACGCATTTACGGGGATTCCCGCAAATAATGCATACGTTTAGTGAACAGCGCGCGGTAATTCCCCTACTCGTTTTAGAACCCAGTAGGGGAATTACCGCGCGGTGTTCACTTGTCTAAATTTCCTCTATCAGTGTATTGATTCGTTTGGATACTATAGCGAGTAGACGTATTGTAAGCATAGTAAGCAAGTTAAAATTTGTGTTACCATTGATTCCATTAGCCAAAGTTTAATGTTTAAATAAGATGTCGTTTCACATAGACAAATCCAATTTATACCACAAAATTGTTTGAAAGTTTTAAAAAATCTCATACAAGTACGAAAGTACAAAATGTACAAAATTTAGTTAGCGAAGTGTGGCGAAATTACAAATTACAAGCAAAATCCGACAAGGAACTAGATATTATTGTATCTAAGAATCGAAGAAGAATTGCAAGCGGCGACTAAGAATAAACCCAATCTACTAATTTTTTTTCTAAGGTGAGTGACGAAATCATTTTAGGTACCTATGAGTACTAGAAATATTAGGAATCGCCAAAAAGTTTCTCTTTACTGATTAGAAAGTATTATGGCCTATCTCAAAGTATAGAGGTAATATTCATTATAGATTTATTTCTTAGATTGATTCCGTCAATTGGTCACAAAGTACAGGATGTTAGTTTTATACATATATACAGAAAACTAATTTTGTGACCGGAACGAATTGCTCGTTTAAACATATTAGATTTAAAGCCATAGGGTTTTGTATTTATCATATATATTGCCATACTTTGTATTTATGTAGCTTAATAAGAGAATCTTTAGCCGAAGCCATAGAAAGTTTTTTTTTAGGCAAGATATTTGTCATGAAAATCCAGAAATAAAAAAAGACTATCTCTGAGGGATTCAGTGGGACGTCCTAATCTTGAAAGCAATCAACATTCACTACTGAAAACAATCGCGGATATAGCTTTATTTGGGAGTGCAGCAGATGATAGAAGACGAACGGAATCAATTCGCAGCGTAAAAACTCTTGATGAACTCACACAAGAATTACGTAAAATAGGATTTGACATTAGTCGCAGTGGGACATATCTTCGTTTGATTCCCAGAAAACTAATTCTGCAGAGGACGAAGACATGTATCGACAGTCCTGTTAAGCTCATTCGGGCTCAAACTGATCACCACAAGAGCCACTTAGATAGCAAGTTCGCTGAAACATCAATCCATTATTTAGAGAACATAGCATCCATACTTGGACCAGATCAGTATTTTTCATATCTCAAGATGATAAAGCTCGAGTCCCTATTGGCGTAACTGCGGCAAATAAGCAAGCACCTCTTCTAATGCATAATGGGTAATCGCTGAGCGTCATAAATTAATACCATCTGTTTATGCTGGTATCAAAATCACTTCCAATATGCTAGGACAACCGCAAGCCGTTGGATATTCTGGACCAACATACATCGCTATTCGAAGTGGAAAGCATAGTTCATCACTGCTAATACTCATGCTCAGGATTTCGAGACGCTTCTCGAACTTGAAGAGTTTCGACCATTAGCTAAAACTGACCATGGACTAGTAAAACCAGTGGTAATCATGACGGTTGATGGAGGGCCAGATGAAAATCCACGTTATCAAAAAGTCATAGGGTTTGCTATACAACACTTTAAGCGACATGATCTCGATGCATTGTTTTTAGCTACCAATGCTCCTGGAAGAAGTGCGTATAACAGAGTAGAGCGCAGAATGGCTCCTCTTAGTCGGGAACTGGCTGGTTTAATATTGCCTCATGACCATTTTGGGTCTCATTTGGATGAACGTGGCGTTACAATTGATGAAATTTAGAAAGATCTAATTTCGAATTTGCAGGAAATGTATTAGCTGAAGTATGGAGTTCAATGGAAATTGATGGCTATAATGTTAATGCAAAATATGTTGGGGCAGGTGAACAAGATCTTCCTGATTTTCCAGACATTAAATGGTATTCAGAACATGTGCGTGAGAGCCAATACTTGCTTCAAATTGTAAAATGTAGAAATACAGAATGCTGCGTCCAAGAAGTGGCCTATTTAGATTACTAGACAATAGGTTTCTTCCACCACCTGTAAAAGTAAAACAAACAGTTGATGACTTGGTTTTGGATGAAGGAGGGCAATTTCTTAATCTTCCAGTCAATTTAGCTCTACGCTTAAGTGCTTCACTCAAAGATTTCCTGCAAATGCCCTACGATTATTTTTGTCCGACGGTAAAATTGAGGCTATCAAGTCGAACATGCAAAACGTGTGGTCTTTATCATGCTTCCGTCAAGTCACTAAATCGTCACATCGAAAATATCCATAAAAAAGTAAACACGCACACTGATAGGAAAGTTAGACCTGTAAGAGTCGCTGCTTCGTGCTAATGAACTGATGTGCATTATTCAAAATTTAGAGCACCGTGATGTTGAATGGCTCGATGAGAACGACGTAGACATTCCAAAATCCGATGAAAGCGAGCAAACTCACAACACTGAGCAGCAATCGAAGCAATCCAATGTCATCGAAAACTTAGAATCATGGATTCGGGTTTCATGGACTGAAGACTGTTAATTTGAATTTAATATATGTACCAAAAATTTAAAATAAGTTTATGTTAGTAAGATATAATATTTTTGTCCTTTACTCTATGTTGAATACCGTATCAGTAAAATATAATCTCTATCCTAAATCTATTTTCTTATTTTTCAAATTATAGTTATAACGTTATAATTATAATATTAAAAAAAAACAATATATTAATTGACAAATGTTTACGTAAGCATGGGGGGAGGGGGTAAATAATTGTAATAAATCTGCTTACGTAATACTTGAACGGCCCCTTATGTGGAGTTTTTCACGCAATGTCTTTTTACCTCCTACGCCTACTTAGTATTGTAATCGCGAACATTTTAGAAAATAAGATACACTTTTTGGATGTTATATGACGAAAAACCATATCACTCATTTGCGTTTTTCTGTCTGTCAGTCTGTTTGTCTGTCCTATAACCGCCTATAACTTGAGAAGTTTTCACACAATGCTAAAGGACGAAGAAACTTTTTGAAAATCGGTCCAGTGGCGGCGCGAAAAAAGGCCAAAAAAATTGCTCAAATTTCGATTTTTGATATTTCAGAGGATCCCATTTTTGACTGGAGGTGGGGATGGTATATCTCAGTTTGTTGATGTTACTATTTGTATATGCTCTATTAGATGTATTTCATAGATTACATTAGTCCTTAAAACTTGCTGCGCCACAGCATAGTGATAACTGATAACGGCGTTGCCTGGAGGTGCATAGTCAACCTACTTGACGCCATTTTTTGTATTCAAATGAAACTTTGGGATAAATGTGTTCTTTATAAATGAAAGGCTCTTTTTAGTGAAGATTATAACCATTTTCTTCATTCTAAATATCTACGGTTTTTGTTATACTTAAAAAAACTAAATATTGCGTCTCTTTTTTCATTGTATCCATTTTGCATTTTTGCAGATTTACCAAAATGACTTTTCATGAAAAACCCTACATTAGACTTTTGTGTAAAACTTTTTTCTAAGTGGTTTTACTAACATTTATTTTCTCAGAGGAAAGTTTAAAGCATCGTGAAAATGTATTATTCGCCAAAAACTAAATTTTTTAATACCAATGGGGGGGGGGGGGGGGGTAGGTAACAAATATTCCACGACACTCCTTGGGGGGACCTCCCTGCCCTGCGCCTATGGTTAGAAGGGTCAACTTCTAGCGGGAAACCCTGTACCATTTAATATGGGCATACTGAATATCAAATGATTTTATTTTAGGGCTGTAATTTCTTGGAGTCCCTGAATCGAGACGACTATATAAAATGCCTTGATCTTATTAAGGATATGATTTTGGCGACCGACCTCGCTATACATTACAGGATACACTCTAAACAGTCAGCTATGGCACTGGTAAGTACTTTCGCATTGAAGTTATATCCGAGTTGATACATTATTGTCATTTTTTCCCTATCAAAAACTCTGACTAAGCTTATACCAGTGGGAAAGTTCGCTTTTTGATTTAAGGAAAATTCAAACTTGATATAATGCAATGTTCGTGGATTATTGGAATACACTTTTGACTTTAGATGACCCCACAAAAAAATCGCATGGCGTGTGGTCGGGTGACCTAGGAGGCCAGTGTTAAATCGACGTTCTGTCCTTACAATAGGAGCAAAGAAAGTGTCAAACACGTTCTTGTATCGCTCGGAATTGACTGTCAATGCATGACCGTTCTCATCTTCAAAGAAATACGGCCCAATAATACCGCTAGAGGATATGACGCACCAAACTAGGGTAGAGCCTGTTACACGGGACCTCTTAATTCACTTTTTTAATAGGTTCTTACTTGGGCATCTCTTGGTCGGTGAAAGTTGTATCTAGTACAACATTTCCGAAGGACAGCTGCGTATGAATATCCACTCTTAAAGCAAGCCTCGATAGCAAAAGCATGTTGCGCTCCGGTCCAACGTTCCATTGTGACTATTTAACCCACCCGTCGAACAAGACCTCTCCCCACTTGCTCGCGTATACGGTTCCTGCGTAATTCAAATTTTCAAATGTGAACTTTCCCACTTGTACAGTGCTTTTCAAAAGGTCACCCCCTATTTATTTTTTGAACGAGTCAAGTTAGGAAGCTAAAATTCGAGGTAATGATGCATGAATTTAACGTTTTTTTGAAAATTTCAAGATGGTTCAAGAGGGTCATGTGATATCTCATTGTGAAGCTCCATCATGCACGTGTCTCTATTTATTCCACAAAAGAAACAACTTTTTATCCCCTTGTCTTTATGTGCTTTCAAGTCCTCCGGATTCTTGGGATGAATCAACAGGTATTAAAAATGTCCTTGACAAATTGCCGATATTTCGGCGTTTGTTTAACACCCTCATCATGGCTATTGAATGAGAATCGCAAAACACGTCCAAGAGGAAACAAACATCTGAAGGTTAAACATGGAAAAAAGGAAATGGACATAAAAATCCAAGTAAAGAGATGTCCATTTAACCAACTCAACGTTGGTAATTTGAGTAAAGACATTTTTTAACACCTGTTGATATATCCCAAGAAGAAAGTGATGCACATAAAAGCGACTAACAGATTATTGTTTTTTGATTTCAGGACGGCTACAATAAGAATAACGCCGAACACCGATATTTCCTGTGCAGCCTGTTGATGACGTGTGCGATCTTTCAGATCAAACTAAGGTAATTTACATTAGAGGACAAGGTCCTGTTCTTTAAAACGTATTTACAATAAGATGATGATTATGCTGATATTATCTTTTAGGCTTGCCCGAGAGCAAAAAGGTGGCAACGCTGATCTACACGGAATTCTTCACGCAAGGAGATATGGAAAAGGAGATGGGAAAGGAGCCGGCCAATATGATGGATAGGGAAAAAGCGTCGATACCCGATCACCAGCTCGACTTTTTAACGCAGTGCTGTATTTGTATTTTTAAGTGAGTATTGCGTATTTTACAGTGCTGCTACCATATCTAGACGCTAATATCTTGATATCCAGAAGTGTTTTTTTTGTTATTATATGTACATACATTTCATCTAATCTTATTAGAACCCCTCGTATAATGTCCTTTTTCACGAGTATCGTTTACGCTGATTATCTAGTAATGATATTGTGAATTTTATTCCAGGATATTGGAAATGATATTCCCCAAAGCGAAAGTGCTGGTGGACGCGTTGAAGAAGAACATATTGTGTTGGGAGACGTCAAAGATGGTCTTCGAGAGGTTAGGTCTGGAGGGGAAACGTCGTACGAAGTTTTAACTAGCGACGAATTGGGAGGCGCAAGTGCAGGCCACACTTGAAGTTATACAGGGTTGAATATGTGTTAAACTATTTTTATTATGATAAGCAATGAATGTGTTACAATACTGACAAAAGACGCGTGCGCAATAACGTATAAGTGAAACAAAATGTAGATAACCGCAGAAAGCTCAAATCAAAGTATAAATGTAATTTACTAATATCAAGATGATCTGTATTCAGACAGTGAAATAAACTGGTTGTTATTTATTTACCGTATGAATGTTTTTTTATTCCCCTTTCCCATAGCAATGGTCATGAAGACTACAATTTAAGTATACAGGGTATTACAAAAGGCTGTAAAGAAGAAAATTCAGCGTGGTGAAAACATGAATAACAAATATGGGTGGATTTTCTCCCAAATATGGGCGATTTTCCCACAAAAATGGGTGGTTTCCCCAAATATGGGTAATCTTCCCACAAACACGAGAGTTTTCCTTCAAATACGGGGAACTTTCCCCCATATACGTGGAACTTTCCCTACTTAAGAATTCCCCCAAATATGGTTGACTTTCGTCCAATTAGTGGGAACTTTCGTACGAATAAGGTGGACTTTTTTCAATATGGGGATTTCACCCCAAACATGGGTGATTTTCCCCCACCCCCAAATACGTAAAACTTTCGCCAAAATACGGCGGAATTTAGTACAATATGTGGGACTTTCGTCTAAATATGGGGTATTTTCCCACAAATACGGGGGTATTCTCCAAACAGAGGAGTTTCCCTCATATACGTGGAACTTCCCCAAATGCGGGGGATTTAGCCAACTATGGGGAACTTTCATACAAATAAGGGAGACTTTTTTTCAAATATGGGATTTTCGCCCCAAATATGGGTGATTTTCCCCAAATACGTAAAACTTTCTCCAAAATACGGGGAATTTCGTACAAATATGTGGAAGTTTCGTCCAAATATGGGGTATTTTCCCACAAATACGGGGTATTCCCCCAAACACAGAGGAGTTTCCCTCATATACGTGGAACTTTCCTCCAAATGCGGGGGACATTAGCCCAAATATGGGGGACTTCGCCCCAAAATATGGGGTATTTTTACGGCCCGTGGGGAAATTTTTGGGGATAAGGATAAAGTGTTCTGGGGAATTTTTTGGGGGAAAATAAATTGTTCGGCATTTTATTCCATCTTAAATACAAAAAACTGCCATCTGCTTAATAAAGATTCTAAGTCGCACCAACGGGTCTGCGAATTCCCAATCCCAAATGACGAAATTATATGAATGCGTATCGTTTACGTTCATGGCAATCGTGGCTTAAGAAACAAGTTGTTCTAACAAGTTTGAAAAATAGTCTCAATTCGTTGGAAAAATATACAGACTGTAACAACACTTTGGAAGGCATCAAATATCTGACAAATGACTCATCTAATTTAAAAAAAATTGGTAGGGCTAGGTTCGAAACCACGGAGGATCCGTTGGAGGTATCCGCGATGTTGCCAAATCTAGTTTTTCAGAAAGTGATAACTTTTGTTTTTTAAGGAATGTACATTTTTTCCATATTTGTATTCTGCGAGAAATTCTGAATACTTTTTATTGAACATACTTGACGTAGACCTCATAGTTTTCGAAATATTCACGGTCAAACAAATATTTTTTCACCTAAGCAATGACCGATATCAAAAATTCATCAGCAGATACAGCGCATGAAAACATGAAAGAAATGGCGTCAAGTACCAAAGCTATATTACTCAGGGTTGCCATATTGTGGGATTTTCTTCCAAATATGGGGTCCTCGGAGAATTTTTGGAGGATAAAATATTCTGGGGGAAGAATAAAATCGTTGGGTAAATTTTTCCATGTTTAACTACAAAATCTGTTAATAACATTTTTATGCCTCACCCACGGGCCTGCGATTACCCAATCCCCAAATGACTAAGTGATAATGAATGCATATCGTTTTACGTTCATGGATAATCCTGGTTCAAGAAACAAGTTGTTCCATCAAGTTTGGAAAATAGTATCAATTTGTTGGAAAAATATATTCATTTTTATTTCAATTTACTTGCCATTTTTAATAATATAATAAATAATAATAATAAATCCTTTTATTCCATAAAATGCAATTAAATCGATTTCAATCGCTCCTTTTGATGGTATGCTCCAAAACTGCGACATTATCGAATACACTGGATCATACGCGTCAGATTCTTTCTGCCTGACAATCTGTTCGCATTTTGCAACGCGCCAGCAATCAGGTCAAGCCTATCTGCTTCAGACTTGTGTTCATCCAACGATGCGGAAAGTTTGGCAAAGACCAACTTGTGTTCTGATCGGAACCAGCAAACGCAAACAGGGTGAAGAGAACTGTGCTGTCGGGGATGCAGCTACCTTTCATTTGTCTATCTAGATACAAAAAAAAATGAAAAATTTATCATTATTATACAGGAAGTCTGTTGTGAACTATAAACTGGTCCATTTATGACTCGAGGTTCGGTCCAACGAATTCGGACTAGGTTAGAAGAAGCCAAGCCCCATATGATATTGAAAGACTGTTGTTAGCAACATCAACAGATTATTGTTTACACAAAATTTGACATTAAACGAAAATTGTATACTTTTCCCGAGTAGGACCATCTGCTTTATCGCTCTTAAACTGCTTTTTTACGTAACATGCAATACTTCACTATGTTCGATAATAGTCCAAAATGCTATATATTCCACTGAAATGTTTCAAAATCCTCAAACTCTGTGAAATATCACGGAAACACACGTAAACATGACAACATGAGCAAAATAAGCTTCCCCTCAATTGCCACAAAGTCGCAGCATAAAACACCAGAAATCAGCTCAGCTGTTCTCAATTTGCCATAGCGTCGCCACGTTCATTACGCAAATATTAGTTTTGCAGGAAATATCACCGGGATTTTTTATAACAATATATATTTCTTAATTGTCTTTGGTGGTGGCTTATTTCAGTGTATTTGAAGTTGAGTAAGTGTGAGTCACGAAACCATGAATAAGTAATAGCTTAAAGATGTTTTCGGAAAATCTCTGTGATGTTTTTTTTGGAAAAATTATTTGTTTTAATTTTTTGTACGAGGTTCCAGTGAAGTTGGTAGGTTTTGAAGCTACGCTATGGATGACACTGCATCAGTAGTGGAACCATCGTAATATGAAAATATATTAGGGTACTGAAAACTAAAGACTTTCTTTTCAGTGCAGGGGTTAGGGTACAAACAATTTATAACTGCACATAACATGAATGTTCTATTTGAAAATATATTGGAGACAAATTAATTACTCCTTTATTTAGTGATCACCACCATACATTTCGATTATTTTTGCACTGCTCGGTGCTATCATCAATCGATTGCGTGAAGGCAGTGGTTGATTTTTAACAAGATGTGGGAACACCGCAGAAACTGGAAGCCACTCTAGTTTGTCTGTCGCTCCAGATGATTGATAAAACAAATCCTTTGTTTACGTCTTCTACCCGTATTCGAATTCGTTGGTTCGGTCACGGTCAGGGTTACGTTTTCCAAATTTTAAGAATACCATCTAGTTTTCTTACCTATTTCTTCTTGGGACAGAGTTATCAACGTCGCCATCGATTGAGTAGACGATACGGTTGCGCTAGATCGGCCACTGAGGATAGATCAGTTTTAGTGTATTTTCTAAATGCTGGTAGTCAGATTGCAGTCGTATGCGGCACCTTGGGATAAAGGTCTTAGTAGTGAACTATGTCCAATAAACAATTCAATAGTTCTCACACATAATCATAATCATAAGGATAATGATAAGATAGAATGATAATGATAATGATAAGAATGATAATGGTAATGATAATGATAATGATAGATAATGATAATGATAATGATAATGATAATGATAATGATAATGAAATGATAATGATAAGACAATGACAATGACAATGACAATGATAATCGTAATCTTAATCGTAATCGTAATCGTACTCGTAATCGTAATCGCAATCGCAATCGCAATCGCAATCGCAAGCGTAATCGTAATCGTAATCATAATATTATTATTATTATTATTATTATCATTATTATTATGATTGTTATAAAATTATTATTATTATAATGATATTATTATTATTAATTATAATTATTATTATTATTATGATTATTATTATATTAATATTATTATTATTATAATTATTATTATAATTATTATTATGATTATTATTAAGTTAATAATAATAATAATTATATTATTTAATTATTATTATTATTATTATTATTATTGTAATTATCATTATTATTATTATTATTTGATTATTATTAATATTCTTAAATTATTATTATGATTATTATTATACTATCATTATTATTATTATTATATATATCATCATTATTATATTATTATAACTATTATTAGTATTTTATAATTATATTATTATTATAGCTATTATTATTATTATTATTATTATTGTTATTATATAAATATATTATTATGATTGTTATAATTATTATTATTATAATTATTATTATTATTATTATAGTATTATTATTATAATTATTATTATGTTATTATTATATTATCATAAATATTTTATATGATTATTATTATATTATAAGTAATATTATAATTATAATTATTATTATTACAATAATATTATGATGATTATTATTACATATTATTATTAATATTATTAAACTATTATATATTATATTATTAGTATTATAATTATAATTATTATTATTAGTGATGATTATTATAACTATTATTATTAATTATTATTATTATTATTATTATTATTATGATTATTATTATTATTATAATTATTATTATTCTTATATTATTATATAATAATAAGTTATAATGATTATTAGATGATATTATTATATAATTATTATCATTATTAATATTATAACTATAATTATTATTTTATATGATATATTATTATAACTTCATTCTATTATAATATTATTATCATGATTATTATTATTATTATAACTATTATTATTATAATTATATTATTATTATTATTATTATTGATTATTATTATTATTATTTTATTATAACATTATTATTATTATTATATAATTATTATTATGATATTATTATTATAACTATCATTATATTATTATTATTATTATTATAATTACTATTATTATTATATTATAATTATAGTATTATTAAATTATTATTTTATTATAACTATATATTATTATATTATAATATTACTAGTATTATTATAATTATATTATTATTATTATTTATATATTATTATATAATAATTATCATATTATTATTATTATTATGATTGTTATAATTATTATTATATTATGATTATTATTATTTATTATTTGTTTATTTTCCACAGCCCTATCTATTCAACTGGTTCTGTCCATGTGGGCCGGTTTTGGTTGGTCATTTTCATTATGGTACTTCGAAGATGTTACCCACATCCTAACAAAGTCCATTACCTTATAGTGTCTTACGTAATATGGTTGCTGTACCATACAAGCAATCTCCTGCACGTCTGCTGTCCTGTGCCTTCCTGGTATGAGATTTAGGTTTCCATGTAGATTGTCTGGGATCGTCCCTAATGCACCTAAAATTACGGGAACTATCTTCGTCCTCAGATTCCACATCTTTGGATTTCAATTGAGAGATCTTTGTATTTCAATTTCTTTTCAGCTTCTTTGTTTACAACGTTTTCATCGTTGGGGACTGAAACGTCTATTAGCAGGCAGGTTTTGTCACGTTGGTTTTGACGATTATGTCTGGGCGGTTCGCGGATATTTCACGATCTGTTTGCACTGGTAAGTCATATATTATGGTAATCTCATCTTACTAACTACTGGAGTGGGATTGTGATTATAGCATTTTCTTCCACTGCGATCCCAAAGCTTATACAGATGGCATGATGCAAGTATATGCATATTTATTATGTCGGACCAAGTACTCGTGCTTCGCCAGTTGAGGACAGCCGGATATAAGATGATCTATTGTTTCTCTGAGTATTTTTTGCACATTCGGCATCTATCATTTGCTGTTATTTTGAGGATATGTTTCTCATAATGTCTTGTACGTAAGGCCTGGTCTTGGGCGGCGGCGTTATCAGGGCCTCTGTTTCACCTTTTACCTTCCCTCTCGTGAGCCACGCAAACGTTTGGCATTCATTAATCCCTGGCCTCTTAATTCTCTTCACGTATTGACCATGAAGCTGCTTTCGTATCCATTATATCCTTCAAGGTCTTCCTTGTCATGGCCTTAATATCTGTAGACAGTAATTCTTCTTCATCCTCGACCGCTTGATTTCTATTTCCGGTAAATGTGTCTTTACAATTTTTATCGCTGACTTGACTACTGACTTTCCAACTCGAGGGTGCCTTTCACATCTCCAAATTTGTCTAACTAACGTATCATTTCTGCGGCTTCTTAAATAATTGGCTATGGATACAAACTGTATTATCATAAGTCATCTCTACATAATTGCTTGAGTCCTCTACCTCCTTCTTTACGACTCACATATAGCCTGCTACATCAGCTCTTATTATTATTATTATGATTAGATTATTAATATATTATATTATTATTATAGTTATTATTATTATTGTATTATGATTATATTATTAAATTATATTTTATTATAACTATTATTATTATTATATTATTATAATATAGTTATTATATTATATAGCTATTATTAATTATGATTACTATTATATTATGTATTATTTTATTATGATTATATTATTATTATGATTGTATAATTATTATATTAAATTATTATTATTATTATTAAAATAATTATTATTATTATTAGTTTATTATTTGATTGTTATAATTGTTATT